CCAACCACTAATTTCAATTCTCCTTTCTACAGGTCAACTTAAGTCCGTCGTCGGTTGCTCCTGAACCGACCCCCATTGTTGTAGAGGGGGAACCGCCGATGAGCCGCCGGTCGGAGGAACCGGCGGGGAGGCAAGCTTCTCCTCTAGTTTTGTCTTTACCTGCTCCTCAACCACCACAGGTAACTAAAAGATTCTTTTCCGAACTTTCATATGACCCTTCCTTAGAAGTACCTAATTCATTTATCATTACTCAACTAGGAACTTGAAGTGGTAGTGGCGGTACCCGACCAAATTGCTGCACTCCCCGACAAAGTCGCGGTACTGCCCGACCAAGACGTTGTGTTGCCTTTGCAGCCAGCCGCCCAAGCTGTGGGCGAGGGTCCTCCCACGGCTCCCCAACCAGTCCAACCGATCCACCGCCCCATGACATCGAGGAGATCTCTTTCTCGAAGTCGGGCGAAGTTTCAGTAAACTTTATCCCAAGGGGCTCGGTTGGTATTCTTTCACCTTTACCCTCTGATTCTTTTTTTCCTTTCCTTAACTAACACTTCCTTTCAGGGTATGAAGTTGGTCGCTGCCCATTGTCTGCAACCAGTAGACGAGTTGGCCATCGGCCCGACGCCCCGCCAAGGTACCCCTATGACGTTCCGGGTCATGGCTCTTTCCGAGGCAATAGCTGTTTTCAACCAGGTAGATTTCAACCCTGTATCTATTTTTAGTGAGCTCATTTATATTCCTTTATACTTTAACACTATTTTATTTCAGGCTGCCCAAGAGATGAGTATACTGGCCTAAGTTACACTCCCGACTCCCGCCCGACCAATCGTAGCACGTTGTGCTGACTTGCCTTTCGCCGACCTGAGTCCGGCTGACCTTGAGGCTTTGGTCCAAGTCGCGATAGACTTTTTAGTGCAGCACCCATTGGAGTCAGGAGCTACTCCCATTCTCGATCGGATGATGGAGAGGATCACAGAACTTCAAGCCGAACTACCTCTGATCCGACCTCCGTCATCCGAGGCCGCATCATCTCAACCGACCGCTGATCCGGCTAGCTTCTTCTATCACTTTGATGGAGTCTTCGGGTCCTCAACACCTTAATAATACTCCTTCGAAGGTTCTCTTATACAAAACCCCTTCAATAAGTTGAAAGCGTAATGCTTTCAACTTATACCCATAGGAGTTGCAAACTTTGGTGATTCCAGATAGACCATAATTTCTGTTCTCCAATCAGTACTCGTATCAATATTGCCAATAATTATTTGCTGACACGCATTCTGAGCCAAATTATCTGCTTGTCGATTCTCTGTTCTTGGTACATGCTCAATAACCACCTCTGCAATTCTATATAATAGGCGATATACCAAATCTCTATATTGACGTAAATGAGGATAATTACAAGCGTACCGTCTTAACACTTGATTGATGACCAATTGATAATCCCCGCAAATCATGACCACATGTGCCCCTTCAGCCACGAGTGCCTCCAAACCCAAAATCAATGCTTCATATTCTGCAGAGTTATGAGTCATCTCCTTCATTTGGAGTTGCAGACTGATCTTCCGAGCTCCTGGTCCTTCTAATATAACTCCTGCTCCTGACCTCCCTTTTGAACAAGAACCATCAAAAAATATTTTCCAAGGACTGGTACCTATATATGGTACCATTTTGCTTTCTGCTGGTCCGCTGTTCGTATATTCAGCCAATAAGTCGGCCACTACCTGTCCTTTCACTGCCTTGATAGGTCGATGTCGCAACGCAAAGGGAGCCAGTCTGATTCCCACTTCATTAACATTCCCTACATGGTTGGTCTGTGCAGAATTAATCTGACCAGATCCACTTTGGAAACCACCTCGTTTTCTCTTGGTAGAATATAATGCTCCAACCGAGTACACGCGAAGACTAAAGAATAACACATTTTTTATATGAATCTCCTTAGGTAATTTACTTTACCCAACAAACTTTGAACCTCTTTGACCGTCTGAGGGGGTCGCATCGTCAAAACAACTTTAGTTTTATTTGCATCAACTTCTATTCCCTTTTCATGCACCAAAAAACCCAGGAAATTTCCTGCCGAAACTCCAAAGGCACATTTCGTTGGGTTCATTTTCAGGTTGTACTGCTTCATCCGTAGGAAAAAATTTTCAAGTGGACCAGATGTCTATCAAAGTCAATAGACTTAATGATCACATCGTCAATATATACATCTATGGACTGCCCAATCAAATTGTGAAAGATAGTATTTATGGTCCGTTGATAGGTTGCTCCAGCATTCTTTAAACCGAACGGCATAACCGTCCTTTCGTAAATCCCCAAGGCTCCTGGGCACCTGAAGGCAGTTTTTGGTATATCTTCTTCTACCACCACATAACCGTCCATCAGGCTTAAATTTCGGTGTCATGCTGCCGAATCGATCAACATATCAGCTATGGGCATTACATATTCATCTTTAGGAGTAGCTAGATTGAGATCTCTAAAGTCAATGCAGATCCGAATCTTTCAATTCTTCTTGGTTACCGGGACAATGTTGGCTAACCATTCTGCATATCGATAAGCTTGAATGAACCCTACTTTCAACAATTTCTCAATTTCTTCTTTGATCTGTGGAAGCAATTCTGGACTAACCCTTCCTTGTGGTTGCTTATACGGCTAGAATCCCTTCTTAATAGGCAACCTATGCTCTAGTAAATCCCGTGTCGACCCAGGCATTTCAGAATAATCCCATGCCAAACACTCCATATGGTCCCGAACTACCGTTACCATTTGCTCCTGCTGGTTTTTAGACAACAAACCACTAACCCTGACCATCTTGGGTATCTGTTCGGTTCCTATATTGTATTCAATGAGCGGATCCTGAGTTGACAAGGAAGGTTTTGTCTTTTCCAGCACGTCAGACCAACGAAACCCTTTTCCCTCATCAACATTATTGTTGGAACCTTCCTCACTATGTAGTCTAACCATTAATTGGTTTAAATAAAATTGCCTAATCAATAAGTTACATTCACCCATATCTTCCATAACTAAACTTTTAATAATTTTAGCATTTCTTGGCTAACAACAGAGCCACAAAAAGAAAAAATGTTTCTAACGAAACACATATCCCTGCGCAGTAAGCTTTCAGCTCTTCCAGAGATTCTCATCTACCACAGCTGTTTGTGAGATCGGATGTACATACTCAGAATAAAATACGGATTCTTCCACAACTTCTGTGGAACCGAACGGATTAATGCTGACATCCATTCTGAACACTTGATCTTCTTCCCAAAACATGATCTGCTGATGGAGAGAAGAGGGCACGCATTTGGAAGTGTGAATCCAATCTCGCCATAACATGACCGAGTAAGTAGTGTTGGCATCCACCACAAAGAACACCGTTGAAATCACCTTCGGTCCGACTTCAATAGGGGCTACCATCATCCCTTCTGGTTTCGTTGGTTGCCTCGTGAAGCTTGTCATCTCGATATCTACTGGAAACAAATCACCAATTCCTTTTCCCAATTTCTTCAAAGTCTTGAGAGTCATAACGTTGGAGACAACTTCATTATCAATGAAAACCTTGTTAATCGGCTTACCATGATTGGTTTCAAGTGTGGGATTGCTCCTTTTGGTATAGGTGGAAAAACCATAGGTGGGGGACTACTGTGTGTATGTCCGGGACTACCAGCCATTGCTGCCCACTCTGGTTCCTCTTCCTTTAACCTTGCCGAGATAGGCTCATCTTCTTCCTCGAACCACCGCATACCAGTCATCCTTACTTCGAACCCGGTTTTGTCGGTCTTTGCTATCTCGCTACGTAAAGCCTTCACCTCGTCTGGAGCAAACGACCCAAAGATTATCTTGGGTACCTCTTCTTCGGCTGCTTCTACCTCGGGATCAATATTGATCCGTCTACAGAATTGACAACGGAAACACCTAGCTTTCTTGATAGGCCTTTCGATCTCCCAACGCTCCTGTAGTCGCTCGCTCGAGTCTTTCCTTTTGGGTGACGCCTCCTTCTTCTCCTTCCCTTTGTCTGCTCGCCTCCCGTGCTGAGCTGCATACCCGCGTTTAGCATTACGGGTTTGCGTACGATTCATACCTGGAAATCGGGGATCTATATCTATGGGTAACGGTTTTCTATTCCGACACTATTTTTCATGGACTGGTTGTGGCTTGCGCGTTGGTCAATCTCGCACCACCACTTTTTCCTTCAATTCCACTTTGAAGGAACCGTCCTTTTTGTCCAATTTCTCTACCACCCTGGTTTCGCAGATCTTGAACTTGTCCTCCTAATCAAGCTCTCGCTCATTTGGCTTATACTCCTTCTGCTTGGCGTCTTTTTCATCATCTCTTTGTGTGTCTTGTGAAGAACGCACAAAGATTACTGCAATAGTTACTTTCGGGAAAGGCTGCTGCTCTACTCCCATCGTCACGTATTTGAACCTTCCAGCTTTGATAGCCCTCTGAATTTCCTTTCGGAAGTGCGTACACTGGTTAGTGTAATGCGTAAAGGAATTATGCCACTTGCAGTACGGCTTTCCCTTTAAATCTTCCTTTGTCGCCAACCGCTGTCCCTTAGGAATGCGAATTTGACCATCTGCTAGCAGAATATCAAAGATCTCGTCTGCTTTGGATGCGTCAAATGTTGGTTTCTCCCGCTCTTCCACCCCTGGGAGGGGTTTCAATTTGGAACATACGTAAGGCTTGCCATTCACAATCTCTGCCGCCATTTCTTCAACATTTTTCCCTTGTTTATCATTAGGTGTATACATCTCTGTATCAACACTAGCCATCTGCTGGACCTTGCTCCGCCGGAAGTTGTGGTCCTTCTCTCTAAGGAGGGACTCTAGCCTCGCTGCTTTGGATGCTAAACTGGCCAAATTTCCGACATCATGGGCTGTCAAAGCCTTTCGCAGCCGCGTATGCATATTCCTTACCACCAAATTGGTCATTTCGCTCTCCTCAATGACTGTTGGGCAACGTCCTTTCATCAGTCGTATCCGCTCTATGAACTGGTAGGCGGTTTACTCCGGCATTTGCCTAATCTCCAGAAGGTCGGTAAGTGAGACTGTTGGAAGAGGATTAAAAAACCTTGCATGAAACGCCGCTTCCAAACCTTCCCAGTTCTGCAACTGTCCTGGCAGAAGATTGGCAAACCAAGAAAAAAATGTTCTTGTGAGAGACAATCCGAACAATTGTAACTTATGAAACGGATTATTGTCCACTTCCCCAAGTTGAGCCGTGAAACGTCCCACATGCTCAATAGTCGATGCTCCATCTTCCCCTGAGAAGGAGTGGAAATCAAGAGGCCTATAATTCCTCGGGAGGGGATGCTCATTGATGATTCTTTCTGGAAATGGCCTCTGATACGCCGGTCTGTTCACATTCTGAGGATTCATTCCGAAATGCACCCACAGAACTTGAGCGTGTCCTCCGGATCCACCCTGGGCGGAATAGGATCGAAAACAGGAATGGGATTATGCGTCTGTCCCCCCATTCTCTCCTCTCTGGGAAGGTTGGCTCGGCTCTGACACCCAGTGGGACATTATTTGGGTATGTTAGAGGAGTCTTTCCTCTATCGGCCCTAGTAGCAACACTTGGAAGGGTGTTGTCTACATAAGAAGGCCCCGGAAAATTCACTTGTAACCTAGATGGTGACATCCCTGAAGGTGACTGGGTGGGTTGAATAGTAACCCTTGATAGAGCCTGATCTAACATATTCTGTATGAGATTTTGTTGTTCACGTAACATGTTCTGCATAGCCAAAGTTTGCTTATTGTTCAAATGTTGAACATAAGACACCCAATCGGCAAGTGCTTGTGGTGCTTCCCCTGCATTCGGCATGGCGGGTGGTGAGATCGTTTCTCCCACCGGTGTTGAAGATACTTGGGGCTGTGAGCCTGCCATATGGATCCTTCCAATGATTTGGCCGGACCTCCGTTGTATGAAATTCTCTCTTGACGTAGGATCAGCAATCTTGTCTTACTCCAGTTGTGGTCGCCAAATTGTTGATGCAAATTTTCAACAATAAAAAGTAAAATCCGAAAATAGAAATTATCTTCGAATTTGATTAAATAAATGCCTAAGATTAAGAATCCCTAGACACCGTACGACACATAAGAAAAATTGAAAAGAAATACTACATACTGTAAAATTAAAAGTATGATCCCCAAAAGAAATTCATTGAATTTGATGTTGATTGAAGATGCTTTTTTAGGTCGTGAAGAGACCTATTTAAAAACTCATGTCAACCGCTTCGATGTCGTTATCAGACCGTGCCTTCATATCCGATTGCCAGTTGTAACTTCTTCCAACCGCCTCAGAATTGCTTTTCACCCGACCTGCACGTCCACCGCATTGTTTCCCTTTGCCCGACCTCTGCGTCGGCCGCCTCATCTTTCTTCGCCCGACTTCCCTTTGTCCAACCTCCATGCCAACCGACCCAAAGATGAACTGTCTCCCCTTACTTCGTCCAACCTCTTCTTATCCGACTTCTATATCCACCGAGCACCTAGTCACAGGTTCTTCCGAAAAACCCATTTCTTGTCGTTCGGCGACCTGAGCCCTGGAGACCTTGATTCTCTGGGTCAAGTCGCCATCGACTTGCTGGTGCAGACTCCTGCTGAGTCCGCGGCGGCCCCAATACTCAGTCGGATGATGGAGAGGATTACCAAACTTCGAGCTGACCTACCCTTGATCCAACCTTCATCCTTCGATGTTGCTCCGTCACAACCAACGCCCGACACAACCGCCATAGAGGCCTCTTTGTCGAAAGCGACAGAAGACCTCAATGAAGCCTCCACTCAGTTGAATGAGCTGCAGCATGCGCGACACGCCTTGGCTGCCGAGATTTCCCAGAAGATGAAGGAACTCGAGGGCCTCCAAAGAGAGCTGGAGACTCTGGACGGATGCATTCAAGAAGGAGGTCGTCTGGTGACCGAACATCGTCATACTCAAACAAACCTCCATGGCCAACTACAAGCAAGCATTCGGTCGAGGCTTGTACAGGAGCACCAGACGGCCTTCCAACAGCGGAGGTCGGCCCGGTCTGAACAAAAATGGGCAGACTTACGAACTGCCCTCAGGGCCCTTCTTTTGTAAATGTTGAAACAATCCAACTTTGTATGTAAATTTAACCTCTAACCTTAAATTTATCCTATTTTATCGATCACTGATCTAAAAATTTACACCAAAGACTTAAAACAAGAAACAATTAATTAAATCAAACCTTAGAGAGAAAATTTATATAAATATATTATTATTTTTTTTTACCTGTCCAACCAATCAAATTTTAAAAATTTGTTTTCCTTTTTTAAAAGATTCTTTTATGTTACCTAATTTTTTTTCAGTACTATAGAAAATTTATTATTTAGAAAATTATATAAATTAATATATTTGTAACTTCTATATCATTTTTAGAAATGACATATTATGAAGGAGCAGTAGGTCAACCGTCCAGTCAGCCGAAAATTTAAAATTCAATAAATAAATAATATAAATATATGTATTGAACAACCATCCAATTTAAAAAAGAAACCATTGTATGGTCGAATGAGAAGGAAGTGAACCGTCTAGTCGGATGTGATAGAAAGAGAAGAAAAATGATATATATACTGAATTGGTCGGATGAGAAGGAGAAGAACAGCCAGTTGGTTGGCCATTCGGTTGGGATAGAAAAATGAGAGAAAGAAATATAATCAATTATATAAATATATTTTTTATTATATCTGAGCAACCAATCAATTTTTTTTAAAAAAAATCCTTTTTTAAAAATATTTTTCTATATTATGTTTTTCATTGAATAATTTTCTTGAATTATTTTCTACAAAATGATACATAGACTGAACTGGTTGGACGAGAAGGAGGAGAACAGTCCAGTAGCCAATAGGTAGTCAGTTGGGATAGGAAGAGAAGAAAAAGAAATATAATCAATTATATAAATATATTATATATATATGTGCAACCAAACAATTTTTTTTAAAAAAATATTTGTCTTTGGATTATTTTTTTTTATATTTTATATTTCTTTAGAAAAATTATTTTTATTTGAATAATTTTTTTCTATTTTACTAAAAAATTATTCTCTACAAAATGATATATACTGGATTGGTCGGATGAGAAGGAGGAGAACCGTCCAGTCTGTTGGCATAGAAAGAGAAGAGAAAGAAATATAACCAATTATATAATTATTTTTTTTTATATATGTACAACAAACCAATTTTTTTAAAAAAAAATTACTATTTTGTTTGGATAATTTTTTTCTATTTTATTAAAAAATGATTATCTACAAAATGATATATATACTGAATTGGTCGGATAAGAAGGAGGAGAACGTCCAGCCGGTTGTGATAGAAAAATGACAGAAAGAAATATAATCAATTATATACAAATTATATATATTGATATATTTGAAATGTTTAGATAAATTTTAAAAATCACATTATATGAATATGAATATATAAATTAAAATAAATAAACCATTATCAGAGAGAATAAGAGAATAGACAAAAAAGAAACTAAAAAAAAAAAGTGTATGTCCGAATTGATCGGATGAAAAGGAGGAGAGCCGTCCGGTCGGTTGGGATGGAGTTTTTTTTTTATAATATAAAAATAAACTATTATGTGAGAGAATAAGAAAAAAGAAAGTTGTCTGACCGAATTGGTCGGTTGGAAAGAACATAAATGTATAGTCGGTTAGGATGGGAACAGAAGAGAAGGCGGTTGATTTGGTCGAATGAAAAGGAGGTGAAGCGTCCAGTCGTACGCAAATTAAAATTTCAATAAATAAATAATATAATATAAATATATGTATTGAACAACCGTCCAGTCGGCCGCAAATTGTTTTTGTTTTGTTTGCCCAAACAACTCGAAAACCCATGCATTAGTTTCAAATGTCTTTTTTAATATATCATAGCTTTAAAATATTGTAACAAAATTATTGTACTAAAATAAATGTTACAATCTACAAAATAATATCTATATCAATATATTTTCTACAAGAAAATCAGTATCAATTAACAAATAGAATTAGAAAAACACAAATTTCAACAACACCCAATATCCTTAGTATAACTCACAACACGGGGATTATTTGACAAATTTACCCATACTTGTCTACAATATTACCACTAAGTAACTGCTTAAAATAATAAATATTACGCTAATAAGAACATTTAAATAATAACAGATAGCTATCTGACAACCTCCCATATATATATATATGTCTTCAAAGATATATATGAATATTATACCCTCTGTTCCGGAAATGTCCCTAGATTTGACAACCGAAAAGACTATTTTTTTTTTTTCGTTAATATTAATAACAAAATGTGTCAAAAAAAATTTATTGACATAATGCACTAAATTTTCTAAATCACTTACTTTGTTATGTTTTGTAATATCTTAGTGTACTCTTGGAAAGCGAAATTTTATATAGTAAAGGTATTGTATTTTCTTTAGTATTTTTACATAGTACATGATTTTTTCAGAGTATTACAAAAAAATAATATATAATATACAACATTAAATAAATATACAATAAAATAAAAATAATAAAAACAAATAAAAGATCATGTTATAATACATTTATAATTTCTCAAATCTCAATAAATATACCAAATATTATTAATATTAAATAAATATACTATAAAATATAAATAAATACATAATTAAAAAATAAATTAATATAAAAAAATTAGTTTAAAAAATTATTATTATTTTAATTATAAAGAGATGTTAATATACATATATAAATACGTATTGGAAGCCAACATCTGCCTCCATTTCGCGATGGGCCCTGGCCTGCAAATGGTTATATATAACACCTTATATGTTATTTGTTTTATTTTAAAATACTAGTTACTTTAAATTAGTACGTTAATTTCGTCAAATCAGCATCAACATTATGACTGTCCTCAATATTACCTTTTTTTTCTTCAACTTTTTCTTAAATTATCACTTTGTATATTTTTGTGAATTTATTTTTAATGTTAGACATAAAGAATTATATCAATAATATAAAAACTAATATTTTTTATCGAAATACTAATTTTTTATAAATAAATAAAAAATATATATTATGATTTTTTGTAATATTTATAGAAAATCGAACTAAAAATAATAAAATTGAACAACCCAACCCCTGCTTTTTAGACTTTGGTTCAATACTTTACTATGCAATCATATTTTGATTTTCCTATAAATAGAAATTAATTTTATTTTTTTCAAGTACAAATGACTATTTAAATTACAATGAATCATAATCAAATTATAAAAGAATACACAATAATACTTTCATGTTTTGTATATTTTTATTATTCAATCGTTTATTTTTCAATAAAAATCTTATAGTGCATATTCTGTTAGAACACTTTGTAACTATGTGTACTATTACTGAATGGATGCTAAACTTTGAAGGTTTCTGCGTTGATAAATATGAATCAGAATTATGTAAATGAGATACAATCTTTCAATTCAATTCACCATTCTCTTTGCAAGTCTAATCTTCCACTCATTTAATGCATTCAATCATTTCATTACATACATACATACACAATCATACAAAAAATATATATATATATTATACACTCTGCACGTCCACATATACGTACATAAATATACATATTAATACTGACCAACTTATATATTATATTTATTATATAACACCTTATCAACATGAAAGCTCTTGTCTATTTTATTTTTGATAATTTTTATTTTTATAGTATTTATATTATCTATTTTCTAAAATATGGAAAACCTTGCAAAATTTTCTTTTAAACCTCTGTCTCTCATCGGCAATAATTTTTTGACTTGGTCACTGGATGTAGAAATGCATCTAGTTTCAA